GGTGCGGGGCTGCCCGGCCCCGCCCGCCTTGCGTGTGGGGCATTCAAAAAAACAAGCGGGAAGTATATGCCGGCTCAAGAGGCGCTTTTCAGCCAAGCAGGAGCTGGCTCGACGCCGCCCCCCGGCACGGTAGGGTCAGAGGGCTTTGTTATTGGGGGTTACTTGGAGGTGCTGCCCTGCCGTGCTCTGCTCTGACCTGGGGAGCCCCTGCAGCCTGAGGGCTGCGCTGCGGCTGCACGAGTCTCCAAGGAGATAGCTTGCTTACGTGGCATTTTTAGCCCGGGACCACAGCTGTTGACTTGGTAGGGTATGAAAGTGAAGACTGGCGTTGTAGCATTTGGGCCTGAATCCATACTTGTCAAGGGTAAAAGCTGGGGTATTCAGCTCATAGCAGAGCCAGAAAGTTTGGAGTTGAGATGTGATGCAGCCCAGCGTTCAGGAGAGGCACCATCTGAGAGCGGGGCTGGAGTCTCAAGGATTTCACCAGCCTTGCCTTAGGAAACAGGTGGCTCTGTATTGTTTCCCATTTTACAGTGAGGAAACTGAAGGGCCAAGAGATGACATGCCTTGCACAGGGGTAACAGAAACCAGAACTGGGAGCTGCATGTGCTTTGCCTGCTGATAATGCCTACTGGATATGGCTCTAACCACTGTTCAGATTACATCCACAAAACAGTGTGAGAATCAACATGCATCATTTATTACATGGAGATGGGGGCTGAATAAAGTTATTTGTTTATGGGAGAGGAAAAAAACATCAATCCACACTATTGCAGCCATAAAGACAAAGAGATCAAACAGCCAAAATGAAAGAATGTGTTTGTAGGAAAAAAAGGTTAAGGCTTCCTAATTAGACCTGCATGGAAGAAATTCCTAGGCCTGCAAAACCAAGGAAGAGCTTATCCTTTGTGTGAAGTAGTAGGGTCCATGGGGTACTTCTAGAGATTGCTTGTATGTAAGGGAGCCAGGCAGAGTGAGCCCATATATGTTATCCAGTGAGCTAGGTATGAAATTTGTAAGGGGATCTGCTGCTCCACTGGAAAATGTTAGTTTTGTTGTCCAGTAATCAAAAAAGGTTGAAAAAAAGCTTGTGTCGGCTGCTCATTTCTTAGCAGAGAGGGGGTAAATTGTTTGCCTGCAGGATAATAAAAAGGAACATTGGCAGTAGCTTTTCCTCCTTTTATTCTCCATGGTGACAACTCAAAAGCAACAAGTTTGAAACTGCAAGCATGGCAAATGAATAACCCTTGATAATTAGGGATGAGGACATGTCCCAGAAAGCTATGAAAGTACTGTATGTTCATTATATAGAGAATTGTTATGTCTTTCTTTTTTTCCCCACATTTTGAAAACAACTTCATTACAGCAGGGAAGAGTAACGTAAGTGGAATAACAAAAGCTGAGTACAGCGAAGAAAGCCACTCCATTCACTGCGTAATGGGGGAAAAATTGGCTGTTGTAGGCGAGCAGCAGCAACAGAAAAAGCCCAACTGATTGATAAACAGCAAGAAGACTATATCCCTGGGCTGGGGTTTTCAACAGGAGCTATGAAAGTCAGTGACAGCTGGGCACCTAGCTCCCACCCCAGAGCCTCTGGCCTGTGTAGTTTGTACCACCAGAACTAAAGGTAGTGTGCTGGGATGCACGATGTCAATGGCAGCAGTGTTGGTGCTCCTCCGACTGTACAGGTGTGATGCAGCACAGCCAGAAACACGCAGGGGAGACTCCTGTCATCTGCAAGTCCATTTTTAAAAGGAGCCTGTCAACTTTTTTAATTCATACTTTTAAACTCAGATGCAACTAATAGCACCTTGGAATCCAATTTGCTTTCTATGCCACTGTAAGTCCACATCTAAATTGACTGGCTCCCCTAGGTGCAAAGCTGAAGGTTAACTGAAAATGGCCAAGAAAACAGAGTGGTCAGAGATGCGTTGAAAGTGTGCCAAAAAATAACAGGCAGAAGGGGATAAAAGGTGAAGGTTTCTCCTCTGAAAAGCCCCAACGCAGGTTGGGGTGAACGCCAAAAAGCAATTATAAAGGTCACAAGAGAATTCAATATGGGGATCATGGCAGATACATTCCTTTAATATTAATTAACCTGATTCTTATGATTGTTCTGTTTCTAGCACTGGTAATCCTAGAACGTAATAGCAAAAAGATGTTAAATGTGAAGGAGGCATTTTGGAAACGCCCATTAAATGCCACATTTTGTCATGTGATGAGTAGCCAACTCATCACATTACAAAAGAAACCTATTGTCTGATCTCCTGTCTCCGAGGCAATGGGAAAGGGGCCTTAGGAGCCCCAAGTTAAGATGAGGGTGATTTCAACAGCACAGCTGCTGTAGAAAAGCACACATGGCCTAGCACAGCCATGTGGAAATGCTGTACTGCAGAACATAGGGTCAGTTCTGCAGTGTCTGGCTTACGCCAAAGGTCTCTTTGCTCCTGGACCCAGTCAAGGAATGAGTTAAAGCCACCTTAGCTTCTGTTTCAGCTTGTCCCAAACTCTACTTCTTAGTGGCACAGGATAGAGCTTCACCCACAGCTTCTTGTGAAAGCTCCCAGGAGAAAAAGGAAGATAGCTCTAAGCAGTGTCTCAGTGAAACGACCTCCACAACGTTACGTTTATTTTCAGAATAGCCCAGGCATACTAAACACTATTCTTATATTATTTTTTAATGTACTAGTAACAGTTTTTGTTTGACTTTCTAAACTGTTTCATGATTGCTCCTTCTCAAGGATCTGTATTTGTACAGCCTAGGAACTGTCCTGCATCTCTTCAGAGAGTAAGTTTTGGGAGGGACCTTCTGTCCAAAGAAAGAGACGTGCTCCTCTATGAGTATATGGAGAGTTAGCTCCTTTGCAGGACAAACTGCAGCTACAGGAGTAGGCTGACAACTTGGCCAAGCAAGGCTCTTCTGTGCAATATCAAAGCATTGTTATTGGAGGAAGCTGGTCACAGCCCAGTGGTGGCACCATGTGGAGTGAACTCTCCTACTACTCCCTGACAAAAAGTTCTTGGAAAACGCCCCCTCCTGTCCACCTCGTCAAAGGCCAGTTCCATTTTACAATGCCTGATACTTCACTACTCTCCCACAAATTTCTCTGGCCAGTTTTATGTAACTCCCTGGAAGAGATATGCATGAAAAATTCAGCTTTCTTCTCAGTGATCACAAAACCAGTTGTCTTTTTTTTTTTTAACAGTTGTATCAGGCATTGCTTACCTAGAGCAGGCTTGTTGGAAAAGGTCAGGAAAGCAGCGTGACTGCTGATCCACCACAGCAGCAACCCACAGAGGCACAAGCCACAGTTAAAAACCACAGTTCATAGCACTACTGAGGGACCCACATATCAGACCAGGAGCTGGGACCGCTTTCAGGAAGCCTCAGCGCACACAGCTGTCAGTGCTGGCCACACAGAAGGTGAGGCAGGCTTGGTGCACATTGCTGATGGCCCTCCCTGACATTATCATAACGATTACAAGGGCTAGGATGTTTATTTTACAGTGTCAGTTCCCTTTCCTCTATTATATGCCAGCACAAAGACTTGAATTCTTCCAGCTGTCTCCGGTGATGTATGTTGGAGTTTCCCAAAGTGTACAAGTACTCCAAAGGCTAGCTAATTTCCTATTTCAGTGGACTGAAACCCATCAGGATATCATCCCATCAGGATATCAACCCCCCAGGATATTACCAGGATAATCACACTAAAGCCGCCCCCTGGAAATTTTACAGAGTACTTTAAAGGAATATAGGGATTATTGAGAAGTCATTATCATTGCTATTTATTTTCCCATTCCGTCAAACTATTTTCAGCAGCCCAGATCGCCTTTTTGACAGCACAACTAGATTTACTGCTGATGCTTGATCCCACTGTTGCTCTAAGGGCTCTCATGTTTTTTTTACAGAATTCACTCAACATCTTTGTCTTCTCAGCTAGTCACTGTTGTGATGCTTCATTTTAAGGCTACAAAAGCATCTGCGTCCTTGATATGACTCAGACATCCATATCCTGTATGAAAAGGATTTTAATTTTAGGCTAGCAATAAAAATTGGTCACTGGAAAATTCAGAGTTGGTGATCCTGTCACTGTCACATTAAATGCAATAATCAGGCTTGTTATTCACCAGTGCCAGCATTCTGCAGGTGCTCTGAAAGATGGTGCAGACACAGAGCTACTGTTACTTCATATCTGAAACAAGTGACTCTTCACCATCTATCAGCCTTTGTCTCCCTGTGCCTCTCTCCACTGCTTTGGCAAGTCTTGGGTCATCGGGGTGATGTAGCTATAAAGGTGGAAGCCCTGTCCTATGCATGTCCCTCATGTTCTGATTTGCTCCACTTGGTTCTGCTGCAGAGATATTTCTAATGCGAAAAATAAGGGTAGCCTGAGGACAGACATCAGTAACTGAAAATTCTTTCCGACTTGTATAGGAGGATATGAATCCGTCACTAAAGTATTCGGGAAATCTAAGATTCTAGACTAAGGGCAGAGCCAAGTGATGGGTGCTGTCCATATCTGACTTTAGGGAATTAAGACCTGCTCTTTTTCTTGAAGCTGGTAAAACTTGTAGAACCACTCGTCATAAGGTAATTCTGTCTTCATCAAAATCTTTAATAGTTTTCCAGGTACTTGGATTCAAGCAAAATGCTGGACAGTTTTAATGAACAGTTAAAATAATTTTCTTAAAAGAATTAGCTTACAACTACCTTTTTGTAAACTAGACAAATAAAATGGCAACTTCTTACACTTAGTGTCCAATGCCTTAAAACATCAGCATCAAGCAAACAAAACTGATTCAAATAAATGAGGGGAAGGATCATATTTTTAATACATACAGCTCATTCCTGAGGGCTTGCTCAAATAAACTCTACAGTGACTGAAATACGGGATGACACAACTGAGATAAGAGGCAGCATTCTGAAAGCTCTGCCTTTCAGAGTGATTTAAAAGATACAGGTATCACTGTTTTGGCCCTGCTCTGACATAGTCATTGTTGCAGAAGCACTTTCAAATCTCCATGAAAAATGCTTCCTGGGTCTGCTGGATGTCTGATGGAAAGGATGCAGCAGTATAAACTTCCTTTAAATTCATGTTCCCAAAGTTTTCAGACTAACAAAATGCCAACATTTTCTGCATGCCAGTATCATGATATGTCTGGCGTGAACTGTTTAATTTAAAATAGTGTGTAATGTAGCTCTGTAGACTTACCACGGCCTTGGAGACCACAGGCAGAAACCACCCTCCTAGTCTTTAGTTAACTGTGCTATGATTTTCCTCAAAACATACATTAAAGATGAGAACAGATGAAAATACTTAAAATTTATTCTCTCCAGCCGTAACACAGGGCAGACAGACCCAGGTAAAGCATGCCCCTCCAAGCTAATCCTTCTCTGGCCAGGAAGGCCCAGGACTAGGCTTTACAAAACTATACACTCATCACTAGAGAAGCTTGGGGGGGGGGGGGGGGGAAGAAAGCTATCCTCATACCCATTCACCTTCTAGCATGAAAACAGTAACGTCACCAATTCCTTGGAGATTCTTCCTCCTCTCCCCCAGTCCACTCTTGGTGAACTGATACGGCAAAGGAGTAATATGGAAATGAATCTGTAATTTTTAATGGCGAACTGCAACTATGTTAATAAATCCAGTGTTCAAAACAGTATTGCTAGAGTGAGCACCTAACAAATTTGAGGCCAGATAGCTCCCACATTTTCACAATAATGAGAGAGGGCATTTCAGAGGCTGACGGTGTCTGTAACGTAGTAAGGTGCTAACTTGTTTCTAGGCCTCACAGGAATCAAGACACTGGACATTAAAATCACATTCTGATCATCTTCCTTCACATGGATTTCATTCTAATTTTAGCAGCTAAAAATTAAAGAAACAACTGCATTATACCCTTTGAAAACCAGAACATCAGGCTTCCAGATGGTGTGAAGCACTCGCTTCTAAATTCAGCTGTTCCTGAGACAACAGCCTCTAAAATCATGTCACAATTGAAGTGAACGAAATGGTTGTAACTGAAAGAGGTGATTTTTCAAAGCTTGTGTTCATCCACATTGTTAATTATCTTTCCTTTGTTGTTACTGCTCTCTTCAATGTCTTGGAACAACGACCAGAAAGTAGTAATACCAACAGCACAGAATGAAGAGCTGCAGCTTTCTCCTCACCACAACTTTCTCCTTTTTGCTTCTCTAAAACAAAAAGCTCACTATGCGGAGAGGTCTGGTGGCACTGGAAGCAGAACACCAGCAAAGCTAGAGCGCTGCTTAGGATATGATGAAGTAGATAATCCAGCTTGAAGCTCTACAGGGTCATAGCTCAGCTGCGAGGAAATGCAATTTTATCAAAACAAATCACAGTTGCGGAGGGGGGGGAAACATATCATGCTCTCATCACAATAAAAACTACTTTGATCCACTTTCAAAACAATACATCAATCTCACTTGCAACTCTCATCACAGTACGAAAAAAACTAAATATATTGAACAAACCAGCCCATACTTGTCTCTGTCTGTCTTTCTCTCTCTCTCTTTCTTTGTTCAGCCCTATCCAAAGTAACACCTCATCAGTCCTTTTCTATAGTGTCTGAAAGGATGTAGATTTTCTTTCAAGATTTAGAGCCGGATCAACTGGAGGCAGTCTGCAGCTGTTAGAACAAGGCCTCCTCCCAGCACGGAGATGATACAGAAAAGGCTCTAAGTATGGAGACAATTTTGATCCAAATAGAGAAGAGACAGTGAGAGTGAGAGGTACGCAGACAGGCCTCTCTCTCCACATGAGACAGGGCAAGCGGCACAAAGACAGTCCCGCTTGTAGTTCAGGGATGCGGGAGTAGTATGGACGTGGCTGCCTTCCAGCACAGAATAGGGGGCACTGAGAAGCAGGGTGCCAAAGAGAGCCCTGGCCTCCTTTTCCTGGCAGACTCCCAGAGTCTCTGAGATCGAGTGTTCACAGGAGTCTGTCTCTCATGAAAGCCTCTGCTCCCCTGATGAAACAAACAATTGAAACAAGAAGTCTACGGTGGGTGGCTGCGAAGGTTCACAGGGGCCTGTTTTGCTTGTTGATCTGTTATCTTTTCCACTGCAGTGACCTCGTGGTATTCAGCCCATCAACATGACACGTCCCCAGCAACTTCAAACCACAAGGGACATCCTCGTGGGGAAATCGTTCTGAGAAGAAAAGAGAGGAAAGAAACGTGAACAGCAAAGCTCCCACGGAATACAGAAAAAGGCAGATGTAGCTTTGACAGAGACATAACTAAACAGCAACAGCTTTGTCAGCCCTGCATCTCTTCCCCTCTCTTGCACACGCCACCTAAGCTCAGGCCTAACAACTGAGCTGCTCTAGTGACAGAGTCTCTCACACAGAACAGATTTCAACCAGTTCTCCTTCCCCAGCAACCTCATCAATCCTCAGTAGTCCAGACTGTGGCAGGATGTTTTTCACATGCTGGTAGCCTGTGTGACAAATGCATTTGGCACATATGCTCCATACACATGCATATGCTCATGGGCATGCACCCATGGGAGTCTGTCATCCCAACCCATTCAGATAGATTCCCTCTGAGGTCTGTCACACGATTCCTTGCTACTACCCATGTCCCAGCCCAGAAGACTAGAGCCTCTCAACCCTTCTTAATTACGGATCAAAGGCTGTTGTAGCCCAAAGCAATTCCCTGTAATTCCAGTAAGCCCTGGATAAATTCCATTCCCTACCATGATCCTTCTAAACTGTAGATAAACTCCTATCTCTTTGGTTCATCAGGTCACAGAGCCCCAAAACCTCCCACACTTCCCCAGTTCCAGGCACATGTGGCCAACCGTGGGGCTGTCTCTCCCCTCCATCACAAAGGCCCATGTAGGAATTATTTCCCTTTTTGGCTTCCTAAAGCCACAGTGGCTGCCTTCTTCCTAGTGGTCTCCTCACATACTCCCCTCATCTGGGGCTCCCTACGCTGGGACTCCAGGCTCTACCCTTTGCCCGGAGAGCCCCCTTGTCCCTAAACTCTGGTTAGTAAGCCCTGCCTGGTGGCTCCCCACTCAGCCTATTTGGGTGAAGAGCACCAGACATGGCCTCACTGTTTTCTTGGGCTCCTTTTTCCTCTTCTTGTCAGAGGTGTTGAGGTAGGCCTGCTCCCTGGCTCTGTACGAAGGGCCTCGGCTCAGCTCTCTCTCGCTGTATGGGGGCAGGGCGTCTTCTTCTTCCTCCTGCTGAGGTGATGGTGGTGGCTGCTGCGGCTGCTGCTGTGGCTGCTCGGGTTTGTAGGTAGAGGGTGGTGACCAGGCATAATACGTTCCCCCTCCTCTCTGGCTGGGTTGCGAGCTCAGCTTTGAGGGGGTTTCACAACGGTCACCACTCTCATCATAGCTCCGAGACTTCCTCTCCAAGACGCTGCTGAGGTAGGAGTGATCGTACTTTTGGCTCCCTCCGGGTGTCCGGCTCACCAGCCTCGGCAGGTGCTTCTCCTCATGGGCCCGTCTCCGAGGTGGACTATAAGACCAGCCCCGATCCGAGTCCGTCAGTGGCTCTCGGTTCCCTCTGCTACGCTTAGTATAGTACTCCTCCATGGAGCTGTCCTGGTGGGGCAGCCCTCCGCCCCGGCCGCCGTGCGACTCCGACCGCTCAAAGCGCCGAGTTTCCTGGCTGTCTGCCCGCCGGGTCCTCTGGCTGTAGGACTCTGCAAAGGCTGCCAGCTCATCCATAGAGACGGCTGGCACTCCTACAGAGAAACTCTTACGGGACAGCATCTCAGACTTGGATCTCTGCTGGCTGGAAGAGGGAAGAGGTAACATTAGGCACAGGGCAAGATTCACCTGAGCTCATCCCCTTGGCTGCCCTCAAAGACATCGGAGGGAAACAGGCACTCCCAAGACATGATTCATCTTACCTGTTTTCAACATCATCTGTAGGAAGAGATGTATGACATCCTAGAAATGCCTATTTCTCCCTCCTGACTGTAAAGGCAGCTTAGTGTGGCTAGCTCAGTTCTAATGTTAGTTAAGATTAATCCCTGATTGTGCCTCCCTTGTCTCTATCCCCATGCAAGACGGAACTTGCTTCTCCTTGTCCCCAAAGCCTGTTTGTGTGTGTCCAGCTGGGGAAACCCAAGAACCTGGCTATAGAAGCTCATAGGAGGGTTTTTTGAAACAGGTGTAAAGGGAGTGATCTGGCACTATAGTCCACTACTGAGAGAAAAAATCCATACCACTGCTTTTTGGAGACCGGACTGCTGCTATGTGAGGGAAGAAGGATGTGACATCTCTAAGCACAGAATGCAGGTCTTGCTGCACCAAAGCACCTGGCTGTGATTCCTAACAAAGCGTACCAACACCGAGAAGTCCTGAAGGGATCACTACAAATCTCAGGAGCGCACTTTGGGGAGAGTGGCTTGGTTTCCTGTTGATCTCACTGTTACATCCCATCTAGAACGGGGCTGGCATCTAGCTTGGCCCAACTGGGCTAGCTTGAGCAGACTTGCAGGAATCAGATTGATTCTGTCCTCTTCTAAGGACATCTCCAGTTTCCACATCCTCCACCATGAACCCCTCTGTACTGTTAGATAGGACCAGAGCAGCAGGAAAGGCAGAAAAGCTACCAGTACACCTGTCCGTTCTCCTTTCCTTACTACCTCGCCAGGTGCTGCTGCCTCCCAATCACAGCACTCCTTACCTGTGCCGGAAACTGTCCCTCTCATCTCTGTAATCAGGGACAGCCTGTGACCTTGATGTGCTGCCCCCACCGATCACTCCTGCCCAGTATTCAGCATCACCATCTAGGTCCCCTGCAGGAGGAAGAGGTTTCCTTCGCACCTGCCGGTAGGGCTGTCGGAAGTTCAAGTCCTCCTCATGCAAAGAGCTGAGTTCAGAGATGGTGTTGTTATCTGCAGGGGAGGTTGCAAGAAAGAAATAAGACATGCATCACCTAACAGCATGTGTGAGAGAAAAAGAGAGGACAGGAAGGGTGTGGTGGACTTGGCTGCAGCTCTTTCCGGAAAAACCTGAGCTGCCCTCCGTTAAAAAAAAAAAAAATCTAAACGGAATCCAAGTCCCTTCCCCAAACCCTTGCTCAATCTTGCCAGAAACTCCTGGGTCTCAGTTCGGACAGAGAGCTGTTACTGGACCCATGGGAGACCCCATGCCCTTCTGAACTGGTAGCTGGTGGCTAGGCAGTAATGTTTCAAGGGTATCTCAAATGGCATCAGATGCCTGTGCTCAGATAACTGAGCCCAGCCCTCATGCAGAAATCCCCCCTCAGCACTCCTTCAGTAACACATGTAAGCCCTCCTCCCTTGTGAGGTGGGCGCTGTGCTTGGTGGAACAGCGCCACAACAGTTGTGCCGCCTCCCCCCCTCCCTGGTGTGAGACAGGCTGGCTCCAGATTTGGCCTGACTTGCCCAGCTAAAACAAAAACAACCCCCTCAAAAAAAGATTTGAAAAAAAAAAAAAAAGACTGTCTGAACGCCTGTCAGTCTCTACCCCATCAAGCACACTGACATCTGGAGGCCTGACATACCAATCTGGAGAAGTCTTTTTATAGTAAATCTTGTGGGTGGAGAAGACAGTGTGCTCAGCAATGACTGTTTTAGAAGTACATATAATTTGTTAGTTATGCCTAATCTGTACAGAGCCTTGATGTAATTGCATTCCCTAAAGCCTTTACCTTCATTGATTGCAGGATCTCGCACGTCTGCTCTAAAAGTGTCTCCACCAGGGCCTAATAAGGGTTACTTCTGCGCGAGGCATATAATGCCCTGAGGAACTGTGCTGGGCACATGTCAGCCCCCAGCTTGGCTGTTGTCCTCTGTATGCAGAATAGCTAGAGGACCAAGAGCAGCACCTCCTCCTGCACCCAGCCTGTTCCACCACTGCACCTTTACCTCTTCACGTGGAAAGATCCGCACTTGGGTTAGGATTCCGCCACCCATAAGCACAGCGTCAGACTTTACTTATAAAAATAAAGCCTGCAAGAGACTATAGTAGCACAGTGAGGAGTTCCACATAAAAGCTCAATTCTGAGCTTGTATTATGCCTCTCTGTTCACCACCTTCTTCCTCTTCACCTGCAGCTATTTCACTGCCAGCCCATCAGTAATGATGCACATACTAGCTCTGATCTTATGTTGACCACTGTCCCAAAACCTCCTTACAATCCCCATTTCCTCAAAGTACCTTGTAGTCCCTGCTCCTTTTCCAAGGCAATAGCCAATCCAAACTACCTTTTCCCATCCTTCAAACCCTACCGCGGTCAATGCAGCTCCCAAGAACATGCTTTCAAAAAAAAAAAAACACCCCCGCTTCTCCCCCGTGTTGGGAGTTTACAGGCACCACCGTGTAAGACAAGAAGTCAGGGGCACAATATCCCTGATATTAATACAGCTATCGGCTACAGAAGGCATGAGTATGAATCTGACTTTTCAGACACTGGTGATCCAGAAGTTTAATTATCTGAGTAGCTCATTTTCATGAGTGTTCGAGTCTCCCACACCTTGTTTGCGCTAAGGAAGGGTGATTAATTCTTTAAAATCAGAACATACCCACTGATGCCTAAAATCTAGATTTTATCCAGTCTAAGCACCATATCCTCTTGTAAAGCCAACAAGAGGCTCTAAGGCCAAGCCAGTGACCAGCGAATTTTAACTATGTGTTTGCAGAGTCTTTTTCAGGTCAAAGAACAAAATTTCAAACCATGCTTGTTCCTCACATCGTTCCCGCATCCTCCTAGCTGGATCAAACTGAGCCAGTTCTTTCTCGACATAGTACAGCACTTTCATGGAATCCCTGTCCTTGTCAGCCTGGATCCTGTATCCTTTGCGCACTGCTAGGGGAAAAGAAAAGCATTTAGAGGAGAACACATCTAAGTCCAACGAGACTTTCAGACAACATTGCTTTTATAGCTGAGCTCCTATCTACAAGTGGGTAGGCCGCGTCTTCCAAAACAAAATGAGTCAGTCCTTGCTTCAGAAGAAATTTGTCTGAAAGGTGGGATGTAAAGTTGTGAGCAGCTGTGTAATTTATAAAGATTGCAGTAACAGCAAAAAAAGGGTTTGGAAACGCCCAGTCTGGATGAAAAGATGCATTGAGTGGTGTCACCACCACACCGTGATTCTACGTCATACAGGGGATAGCGAGGAGAAAAGTAGCACTCATTTCCCCTTCCTCAGCACTACAGAAAAGATTTGTCAATATATGGGAAGAGCAGTCCCAGATCAGGCTTCCTCTACACAGGAGGGGCAGGAAGCTCCCAGCTTGCAGGGGAAGCGAGTGGCTGGCCATTTGGGAGCTGTTGCCCCGCAGGACCGCTCCGCACTCCCCGTCCTTGCAAACTCTGCTCACACAGGTTGCAGAGCATGTGGTCGGAGAAGCTCCAGGGAATACGGAAGGCAACACAGAAAGTCTCATAAAGCAAGTCCCACTGCTTTGAGATTTATGCCAGATCCAATGATGGGGCCAATCAGGTAACAGGCTACCTGTGAAACTGCCTGCTCTGCCATTCTTTAGGTGCTGTATTTAACACAAAAGGTAGGTCTCACATATACATTAAGTGCTTGACTCCCAGGATTACTGCATTTGCAAAGGAAGTCTAGACAGCTTTTTGGCTTTGCCACCTTCCTGTGTGTGTGCAAAGGAGAAGCCCCTAGATACCCGGAGCCACAGAATCTGTAACTCTGGCAGGTTGGCTCCCCACACACTCGCCCTGCTAACCCTATGAATAGCCTGGCTACCTCAGGACAGGTCGACGTTTGGCGAGCAGAGAACTCCAGCCACCAGAACTTTAAAGAGACTAAGGCTTTCGTAGAAGATTATTTAACAGAGGTCCCAGCCTGGGGATAAGGCCACACTGAGAGAAACACAGGTCTACATTCAGAACAGGACTACAAATATAACCACCAAATTCAGCCTCATTGGAGGCTGTGAGGACTATTCACTTAACACTATGAAATGAACCCGTTTGCTTTGCGTTGAGTTAATATATTCTCTTGCGTTGAGTACTGCAGTGTTGCATGAGCACCTCTTTCATGACACGATTTAAAAAAAAATACCTGGACGGTGGTTTTGAGCCAACCTGTTCCTTGTATGTTTTATCCCGCCTCCTGATGCATTAAGCTATCAACATATGGGTTTGATGGTATGCTGCACGGTATGCACTGTGTGGGCTGAGCAAGGACTTGGCAGAGGTATTCTTAGGCACCTTCTGTCCTAAACTGCTGTGCATGCATCTCTACACTATTTAATAACCACACTCTGCTTCAGAAATGGCTGTGCCGCAGAAACGGGCAGAATGATTTCTGTCATAATCCTGCAGACTGCTATAGAAGGAAAGTGCTTTATTGTGTGTTTTGACTGTGCATTTGTCAGGTAAATAGCTAAATCTTGAAATGTTGCCTTGTCTATCTGTACTTAGGAAAGGTATTACACGTTAAGATATAGTATGGGTCTAGCAGGGTCCTGCTTTCATTGTGCCTGCAGGGCATATCCAGATAGCAGCTAACTGCAGTCTGGAGGTTTGCTGTGTTTTAATATTACCATAAACATGTGTACCATGACTGTAAATGCTCACAGTGATTTGCAGAACACAAGAAACCTTCCCCCTACCTTCTGAAGTATAAGGCCATCATGTCTCTTCAAGTGAGGTTGATGCTACAAAGACAGGCTGCACTGACTAGCTGGAGAAGTCATGACTCCTGCTGCGCTCATAAGAGCTGGCACAGCAGGAGCAATAACAAAGTGAGGTCTCCAGTTTGCCTCACCATCATGGCTGACCTCCGTCTGGTACATTGCCAGAAAGAAAGAGGCCTATTACTGTTATTTCTTCTAACATGTAAACTAGGAGCTCAAGCTAAGCTACCACCTCATTTTTACACAGGCCAAAAGAAAAACATCAGCTGGAAATGACTTTGACCTACTAGTAACCTTTCCGGAACCTGAACTGGCAGCTTCCAAACTGCCTCCCCAGAACCACTACTCACTGACACTGTGTCAAATATCTATTTGGGCAACATCTAAATAGCTCCTGGACCTGAGGGAGAATTAGCTAGGCTTCATGCTAGCTTCATGCTTGACTTGCTGTTGCAGCTGTGTATCAAAAAGAAAATGAATTTCTTGGTTAATTCTCTAAGCATCTAGAAATTAATATTGGAATTAAATCTGCAAAGATGACCGTGAGCAGCTCATAAAAAGTATCTTCCATTATAGATAATGCCTATTTTGCCTCTAAGTTTATTTATTAAATACTTCTTGCAATGATATCGAATGTTCAATGTCTTGAATCTTTTTATTATTCCTTCATTTGAAGAACCAAAAATCTTAGGGCTTCTGCCTCATACACTCATCTGTAAAATGCCAAAATCCTTTAATAAGGGCTGAATATTTTCAAGCCCATTTTAATTATGAAGAAATGAAGATGCAGAGAAGTTACCCACTTCTCCAGAATCATTCACTTAAGTCAGTGGGAATGGAACATTCTTCTCTGTTAGACCATATTCTCTCCTCATGAATTTCTAGTATTATGTGATTGTGTGTTAATGTGTGTAATGCTAGACACTTAATTCTTCTGTGGGTGGAACCAAGCCAGCCAAAACTGCAGACTGTTTCCCTCCCCAGAAAGGACAGCACTACTATTTTTTTTTCACACACCCATGGTTAGGAAGTAAGAGAGTCCTCATCCTTAAACACTTTCCACATTAAAGGTCTGGAGTCCAGTTCTCTGATCAAAAGCTTCCCTATCTGCAAGGTTTAGGGAAACTATGCAAGGGTCTCACCAGTAACCACTGTGTTTAAAATAGGCAGAGCATACATCTAACTGAAATGCTGCCAACACTCCTCTAAATACCAGAGGAGGAAGTCCTCACCCCATGTAGCCCTAGGTTTAGGACTGTGTTCCTACACTTCCTCAGGACTTCCACGTAGCGCAGGGAAGGCAGAGACCTGCTGTTTTGCTGGTGACACAGTAGTAGTGATCAGCAACTACAGTATAAGCTGAGGAGAATCCTGACTTCGTCACATGGCTTTTATGTAACTCTAGGAAAATTTTCTCAATATCCCTATGCCTTTGTTTGCTGACTAGATCACCTCACAGGGGTAGTTTCTAAGCACAGAAGCTATCTAGGGCAAGGCCTGTCATTTTTAGCCTGGGAACCAGGATTACAGAACCCTCCAGTCTCCATCCCCCAACACTTCTGACCTCATTGACCATTTTTAAATAAATTTGACAGAATGGTTGAAGTCTCAAAGATAGCAAGTTTTTACAAGTTTCAGATCAAACCTACAGCGGCTGTGTGGAGGACACAAAGACCATAATTAGTGCTCCTTCTGGGCAAAAGCGTTCGTTATAAGCTCAACTGTTACCTGTTTTGTTTAGCTTGCTGTCTGGCCAACTAGCAAATAAATAGCTTGGAGCAGCCATATAATGTGCTCTCTTACACAACTTGCAATTAGGGGATATTCTGGCTTTATGAAGGAGCTTAAGAGACAAGGAACCGGGTGCAGGATATCAAACTTCCTTAGTTCCACAGTTCAAAGAGCACCCTTTTTGCGCAGCGCCTTGCACAACAGGGGCCTGATCCAGGCTGAGGGTTTGCAATAAATATGAATCATAAAAGGTTAAGATCCTCTGTTGTCCTACCACGACACTGAAAACTGTGTAATAATTGGTTTTATTAGCAGTATTTAGTATTTCCTGTCAAGTCCTGTGCTGAGGGCCCAAGTCCTGCCAGTTTGGTTCAGATTATATAGGAAATGCATCTTTCTATGTAATAACTGTGCGATGCTAAGACCCATTCCATTTGTTTTTCACATCCACAGTTTTTCATTCTGTGTTTTCATTGTGCTTTGCTAGTAAAGTACAGAAGAGAGGAGTGTTTGGCTGTGATCTGATTCTCAAAACATTCCTAATGTTCCCAAGGCTAATACCATGCTCTACATGCAGTTACATTTTACAGGAGAGGGAAAAAAAAAAAGAAAAAAAAAAAGCTCTAGGCTTCCTTATTTTATGACAATGATTTTTGCATTGGATACGTTCTGCTTTGGGTCAGTGACTAATTTATTTCCTATTTCATAGTGCTCCATTCTAGACCCTTGTTTTAATTTTGGTAAAAAAACATTGTGAAGGAAAATTTTTTTTGTTAATTCCAAACAGGTTACTATACTGACTGTTGTATGGAAGGTTGTTCCAGAAACTTAACTCTTTGAATACACTACCTTATTGTGTCTTTTTAGAAGTGTCTTATCAACAGTCATGATTAAAATTAACACGCGAGAATTAGTGAAGTGCGTTGAAACCAGACACGTGGCTGGATCAATGGCAAACAGACTGTGTCGGTATGACACGTGCAACAAGAGAGGTGACTCTGGCTTGGTGAGGATCACTTCTCCCACTGCAGCACATTTGAATTTAGGCAGCACTGTGATCCTGAAGTGTAGCTGGATGTGGTTAAATAGCTGCCCTCCTCCTCTTTGAAGGTGGCTTCCTTTGCAGCCAAAAAGTGACCCTCACCAAGTCACCAGACTCATACAAGTATGTCTGCATTGATCCATATCTCCCTTCCAGCTGGTAGGCTTCTATCACTCACACGCTATACAAACACAAAGACTGAACCAGCAAAGCAGCCTACTGACTGCCATAAGGCTGCGGAGGGCGTCCAGCCCTGACAGCACTGGGACAGAAGTGCAGGGGAAACATGCCCCTGTGCCCAGATTGCCACAGGGACAGCAAAACGCAGCGCAGTAAAAACCACTGCCAGCGGAAGGCAAGCAGCCCCCTAAGAGCAGCATACCAAAAGAGAGCAGCTTGCAAGGCATCAGCTCTACAGCGAAAACGGCCACTGCCTCTGCTCTCCTCAAATCATCTTTATCCCTTTCTCCCCTGCTAGTAAGAGTTTGCAGCAGTAGTGAGGGGGCCCAGGGCATGACCCTAGCCTCCCAATCCCCACTGGTATAATTAGGTCCCCTCAAACTTACATACAGCTGGTGGCATTGGAAAAGTTGGTCCATGTGGTCCTAAGGGATGGAAATGTCAGTGGCAGAGCCAGTGTTAAAATGCAGTTTCTCTGGATTTCTTCTGTTGATATGACTCTTTCAGTGACATTTGTTCCTCCCTTTCCCAGCCCTGCTCCCAGTCAAGGGCCTGAATGTTGTGCCTAGCAGTGCAAGTTACCATTTTGGCTTCCTCCGCTGGACTCACTCGCGGCTAAGGGAGGGGGGTGCGACTTATCCATCAGCACAGCAGGAGACGGTACACCAGCTACGGGAACAGTGGGGATGTAGTATGGACCTGGCATGGAGGAGACCACGGGAGGGTATCCAGCTTTTGCTGCCTTGCCTGCTTCATACACTAAAAAAGAAAAAAAAAAAAAAAGCAGCAGTCAGCATCACACCAGTGTCCCCTGTACCCAAGAAACCTACACGCCACCAACCTTTGGGACTATCCAGCAGGAGAAAACCAGACACATCAAAAGACAAGGGCCAACCTGAATTCCCCTAAGCCTCAAAGGCCACTGGGGAGAAGTTTAAAAAACGCTATGGCAGCTTACTTGTCAGCTGAATGCTCCAAGCTGCCCAGTGAGTGAAAGTCATTCAGTGTGTTAGAGTCTGCATTACTGCTGTCACAGTTTAGTGGCAGTTCAACTTTAAAAACAACCCATGACTGACTCAACCGGCCAGGATGAGGCTCATGAAACTTGACAGATCTGCCTGAGCCTAACTGGCAACCTTGCTGGGTTGCAAATATTTTACACTGTTATAGAGCGCAGCCGCTTTGCAGTGTCAGGAAGACACCTCCCAAGATGCTCTCGGCTCTGCCCCCACAACTCTCACTGACAGGACAACTTTGGAAGGGGAATATGACACTTGGAGAAGCAGGCACAGCTGCCAAGGCAGGGAGGGCTCAAGGAATTACATTTGCAATCAACTCTGAGCACTCAACCATCCAACAATAGGTCAGATGCTTCACTCCCTAGGAACTTGTTATTCAGTCAAGCAAAGCGCTTGGGGCAAAGGAAGCGGTATGAGCAGATTGCTCCTCCTGTTCTGTCAGGGAGCAAAGGAGGTGCAGGAGGAGGCCTGTGCCTGGCTTGCACGGGGTCACTCACGTGCCCGGGGACAGCAGCAGGACTCAGGACAGCAGGGGAGGCGGACGTAGCAGCAGCAACTGTGCGGGCAGCACTGGCACCAGCAGATCAAAAAAAATGCCCCCAGGATCACTAGGCCCACAAAGACCCATTCTGGAAAACACAAGGAGAAGAGATAGTTAGAGGATTGCTCTTCACTGTAGAAGAGAATGGCAGCATCCTCCTCCCCGTGGAGGTACAGGGCAAACAGATAAGCAGGGCTTCAAAGTGGACTCCCTCCTTGTCTTAAGGCAGAAAGGGTACATCACAATGAGAACCGGAGCTGCTGAAACATGGTCCCTTCCCACTGCGTCTGAGAGGGAAGGAGGGCTGTCCAAGAGGCAAGTGGCACAGCTCTAGTTCCCCAGCATGGAAATCTTTCAGCCCCACAGCAGAGCTGAATGAACACCACAAGACATGCTCCACGAACATTTGGCTCTCATCAAAGACTCATTCTTCCTGGCCATATTCATGCCCTGCTTGCGTGTTTGTTCTCTAACCATATTCTAGTTTTAACGGGACAAACGATGGCGGAGAGCATGCTATAAATAACCCAGTAAATGAGCCAGGCCTGCCCCTTCGCAACTAGGCCCACGCATGCAATTATTCTTTTGAATGTGCTGAAAGAACATCCTATTCAGGCGCTGCAGCCAGCCAGGAAACCTAACAACAACTTTTTTTTTTTCTTTCGTTGATGCCTCAGATGAAATCCTCCAGGCTTCAAATTGGAACAACTGAAAATTACCCTACAAGTGACAGCACAGAAGAGCTGGTCCGCACAAACTGGTGATGAGGTTTGAATGGGCTCCGTTCACATTACATGGGAAAGGGAGTGAGAAAAGGCTTCAGGCTTTGCTGTCGGGAAATCCGCAGCAGCAGCCGTGGTGGGAGCAGGTGCACATCCTGCACCAGGGCAGCTCCCAGCTCTGTGTCCAGCCTCCCCACACTTTGCAAGGGATTGCGTGCACAAGGGTGTGCCTACCACCACGTGGCGATTCCCTGGATTAAGGGAATGGCCAGTGAACATCTCTTGACCAAGAAACTTCAGGACTTTGTGTGTATAGGACGCCTGAGTTGGTTTTAAGTCAGAGATGCGCAAACCTATCTCAACTTCGGACCCCTGGCGAGAGGAAAAATCTGTGGGGAAAGACTCCAGATGCATAAGGGGGAACGATCACCCTGAAAAGTCACTAAGAGGGCAAATACAGAAGAAGTGGGGCTCCTGTGTGGTGGGGGCAGAGTTTATACCAAAGGAAAAAAAAAAAAAAAGCAACAGACCCCTCTTTCCAAACTGAAGTGTTCACTAAGGGGCCTCCTGAGACATTGTTATTTAAGCTGAAGAAGGATTTATACAAGGATTGTGATGCGGGTACAGAATCAGAGTGGGAAAATAGCACACTTTTCACTTTGGTCACTGAGCTGAAAAGTCATGGAAAAATGTTCAGCTTGGAACAACTAAAAACAAACCTTTTTCTAGTTCTTAATAAAATGCAAAAATGAAAAATTTAATTTTGCTTCATTATCCAGAGCACTTTGTTTGAAGAAAAGTAACATGCTTCACTTTGTTGCGGTCTTCCTTAAGTCTTTTACAAATGATTCCTTTTCTTACATGGCATTTCAATTTAGAAGTTACAATTTCCTTTAAAAAAAAATGTTAGTGAAAGATCTGGCATTTACAAATCAAAACACTTCATTTCAGAAGTGTGAAGTGAAATGTTTTATATTTTTTGGAATATTTTATTCCCTTGTTAGCTGAAACAGCTGAATTTCATTTAAACTTGCAGATAATTTTGGTCCTTGTGAAATTACTTTTCTTTGGTAAAGTTACTATTTGTTGAGAAAAATTCAGCTAATGAATAAGGAAATGGCTGAAGGGAAGCATTCCTGAACAGAAAAGCAACAGCTGATAGGAGATTATTAATGCAGTTCCTCGAGCAATGGTTCTGGGAGCCATCTTATTTAATATTTTCATGAATGATCTTGGAATATGTTAATATAACTTGAGGATGAAAGGTAGGGAAGCACTATCAATAAAGATGAGGACTGGGATATCCTGTAGAAAGGGCCAGTTGCCCTTGGGCCTACAATAAGCAGCACGAAATGCAGCAATACTAAATTTCAAGGTCATACATTCAAGGATTAAAAACAACAACTTCCAACTGATTAAACTGGAAACAACTGAAAAGGAGAAGAATGGCTAGGGCATACTAGTCCATATATAATACTGTAACCACCTATAAGATAGAGCCACCAAAAAAGGCAAACATAATCCTATGTGTAGTAGAGGAGGGATTTCCAGAAGCAAGAAGGAAATGTTAATGCTATCTGGAAATACTAATGCCATTGTACAAGGCCTCCATGCAACTTCCGATGAAGTTACTGATTGTCTACAACTCTGTGGTCATCTCTGTGCAAGAAAAGATAAGCTCAGGCTGCAGCAGATGCAGAGCAGGGATTTTAGGGCCATCAAGCAACTAGACAGTCTGCCTTGCACAGCGAGAGTGAAAAACTTGCTGCATGAGTCTATTCAGAAGAAGGCCAATAGCATGCAGAGCTGCTGCCCGTAAATATGCTATGAGGATGAACAGTAGAAAGAAAAATAGGTATTATAGTTAAAGGTCCTAAATAAATTAGCACTAAACAGGCTATGAGTAAACGTAGACGGAAATTAAAAGAGGCATATCAAATAAAGCCTCACTGGGAGAGGGGAAGGCCAAAACCTGACTACTCTTAAGCTTGCTAAGTTTATGAAAAGGATGAAATTACATGGTGCTTGGGATAGCAAGCCAGACTATCCTTTCCAATCCTGTACTTCCCAATCTCAAGGGAATCTTGAGATTATCCCACTATCCCACCTTCAGCAAGGCAAAAGCCCAGCAGTTTTTCCCTTTGCCACGTTCTCATTTGTTCTCTACAACTATAATTTTTAAGAGGAGCTGAAACAGTATCACATGACACAAGTGACCAGCCACAGCTATGCGGTAAAGCTCAGGTGTCAAATCTCTAGAGCTATTAACAAACTGTTCACAATCACGCCATAAAGGATAAAAGCCTGGTGGAGCAAAAAACAAACAGAAAGTCTATTGTCAGTGAACCTGTGGTCTTTCTGCAAACGTTCCAGGAGCATAAAAAGAGGTCAGACATAGTATGCACATTACACATTGCAAGATGCTCATTCCACACTAGGAGGGGATGTTTGAAATCAGTGTCTCAATCACAGGGGTCTATGAATCAGGAAGGATTTTGCTTCATAGAAAGTTAGAACGTTTGCTTCTGTGACGAGGTTAAGAACACAGCAAAAGAGCCTGCTGGCTCCTCCGTTAAGCATAAAACTGGGAGCGCATGCACTTAGGCCCACAACTCCCTAATCTTTCCCCTGGTATGACAACTGTTATCTTCTGTCGCAGTCCTTCCAGATACAAATGTTTAACATTGAGATTGAAATGATTACCAAGCTGAAATGCTATGTGTCCTCACTGTCTGGAAACTACTATTTTGTGCTTGCATGAGCATCTGATTTTGTTTATTCAGGTAAACAGTAATTTTAACATCTGAAATGTGTTTTGCCATTACCTTTTACACCTTCTTGTTGTTTATACCTGTGCAGTGGGGGTACCAGAAAAATCCTGATCAACACAGAGGAATTTCATACCCATGAAAACATACCCCAACAAAATTGTAAAAAATAAAGAGTGTTAAGCCACCAAACATGAATTTCTGTGTATGCTGAAAAGACCAAACCCTCTCCTGCCACACTGAAACTTCCAGGGAGCTTTAGATAACACTAGAGGTTGGAGGACGTTTGCCTTCTCTCCATCTGCATCTCTGGGACAGATTTACCAGGCTTCACAAATACACGCAGAGTTGCATTTTTGCACAAAAGTGTGAAAGAAACACTCCTTTGGTACTGTCAGGGGATGATCAGATGACTCCAAGGCTAAATGTTCTCACAGCTCTTCCCTTTCAAGGACCATCTGTTGCTCAGTCTCTATTTCCTCCTTAGGTAGGTGTCTAGAATTGGTGGCTGTCATTAGTTTGCCTAGCTAAGGATCTACCATGAGGAGAGAGCTCATGTCTGGTCCAAAACCACGTGGTCTTACCTAGGTAACGTCCTGGCCACGTAGCATAAGAGCCACCGTGCCACTGACAGGTTGCTAAGCCAGTGCTCTATTCCTAGCACCTCCTGTGCCACCATCTGTGGTGGTGGCTACAACAGTATCCACAATACAAAGTCGGGGGAGTGGAAAGTACTACCGCACAAGAGGGGCTGACGTACAAAGCTGCAGAGACACGTGAGGCTGTCGAGGTCTTACAGGCTGGACCAGAGTTACCTTCGCTCTGACAGGTGGAGTGCAGAGAGCTCAATATAAAACCTCCCACAAACAGTGCTGGCCCTCCTGCTCTTGCACTCATCCACGATGTTAACCATCTCTGTATGTTGCCTCTCAGCGTGGCCATCCCTCCTCCACCCCCAGCATCAGCTCTCAGTTCTTCAGCCAACACACTTTCCCAGTAAGCGACAGGCTTTTTTCTTTTCTTTCCCAGATAAGATACATGTAAGAGTGAAACATACACCACATAAAAGATGCTGCAGAGGGATAAACAGACAAGGTGACAGAGGAGTGGGTAATTAAAGGTGAAATGGCTGAATACCTGGCATAATCTCCACAGCAAAACTGGGCAAGAGATCAGCAAGCAGCCCTGTCCTGCCTAGAAAAGATAGAAGGAGGAGAAGAGAGAGAGAGGTTACTGCAAGAAAAACACACTCCCCAGCCCCTTGACTCCACCTCCAGTCCCCTTCCTCAGCAGCCCACTTGCACTCTGTTAAGTGAACTCCTATCAATCAGAGAGGTCATCCTGCTCCACGCTTGGTGTTTGCCTCTGCACTTCTGCCATTTCTGTCCTTGTTTTTTATCTTTATCAGCAGGGCAGGGGAAAGAATCGGGAACAGAACTTCTCCGATCTAGGCACAAAATGACAACAAGAGGGAGGTCCCCTTAGCATGACTGCAAGGTAGTATCTTTCCGCAGTTGTGCTCTACACATGCAAAAAGCTCCTGGAAATGCACAGCAGCCCTCAAAGAGGAGATCTGTTTCGCTCTAAAAATGTACTGATGTAGTTGGAATGGATGTGAAACATCTTTAACCCAACGCCCTTGACAAGTCAGCCACATGCACTGAATACACAGGGGTAGTACTCTCCATGTGGGGCTCTGCAGCTGCAGACAGCTCCAGGAGAGAAGCCTTGAAGCATGACTGTGAGTATATGCCACTTATTTCAAGACCCATGCACAACTTGATGGGATTGTGTGAATGAGGCCAACTTTCAAGTGAAGCAAAGCAACCACAGAAGGATTTGTACAGAATTTCCTGGGATCACTCTGCAAAAGAACAACAACAACAAACCCAAAAGCCCTATTTTAATTTAGGACAGAATACAAACAAAACCCAAGCCCAAAGGCAGCTTGGTGCCTATTTATTTTGGCCCTGAATGTCTGGGATATTTCTAATACGCAGTAAGTGTCCCGCACTGTGTTCAGCTACAATTTACATGCATCTGTGCATCAGCAGAACAACCCTATGTGCAGCTGTGCTGTGTGCTTTCATATAGTATCAGTACCACACTAGTTTTTGTTTTTTTTTTTAAAAGACATGCATAAAGTAGAAGAGCTGCACTCTAAAGCGAGACATACATTGTGGATGGACCATAAGAGACAGCTGAGGGTAAACCAGCGCAAAAGTGGTAGAAAGCTACCTTTAACCTCCCCACACGCACTTCAGGTCCTGCACTAAGCAGTGCTCAGACACAATGACGGATTGGATCCTAAGTTCCTTGACCTCTAGTCCGCCCTTGAAGGATACTATAATCAAAGAGATTCTCACTCTCCTTTTTCCTCACTGTTTCAGTAAAGCTTCTGTAGAGATGAAAAATCCACAAGGATGCCTGCTGGAGCCGTAATAAACACACTCTGAATTCAGGCAGCGCTTTGCAACCAGTTGCAACTCATCAAAGCTGTTCTAGTACTCACTGTAACACCATTAGTCATGATGTGCTCCTGAAGCCTTAGCAAAAGATGTAATGTTGATCCTTCAGATAATTGTTGCTCATTTGTAACTTCAAAATAGAGTTCTTGCCACTCTATGGAAACATTTTCATCTACACATACACAGAGTTTCATGACATTCTTTGTAGTCCATTTGCTGGAAGGATCAAGTGTCCAAACTGCTCACAGCTAGAACGGTATATGAGAGTGCTCATGTATGCTTTCTGCTCACCAGATACAGGCATGCATATAACACATGCTCAGGATAAGTCTTAGATACCACAAGCAGGCTCCAAACACGTGCATGAAATGTTTGCCTTGCATCACACTATGCTAGATTTACATATGTTTCACATGCATATCAAATATATTCCTTATTTCACAGCATGCACACACAATATGCAATTCTTACAGAGGCCAGGGTGTGCATACAATGTACAAGTGAACCGCATGCCTGCAGAACATACAGGCAGATGTGGACAGAAAGAGCGCATGCAGTCCCAGCAGGACGGCAGAGGTCAACGGACAAAGAGTTGGAGTTAAAGAGCTAGTTTAGGGCTGGGATTTGTGGGACCAGACGTAACGGACAGGCACCTATAAACAGCAAAAATGTTACCTTAAGTCCAAACAGCTACCTGCTTTGTTTTGAACCTACCTGAAGAGCTTTGATCTCTGCAAGTCCTGGGGCTTATGGTCAGGTACCTCACGATCCCCAGGAGGAACTGGGGCATTCACATGTTTGAGGCATAACATGCTAACAAGCATCCCTCAAAAACAACTGTGCTGTGAGAACTTTCTAACTTGTTACAAAGATGAGCAAAGCGGTTTTTCTGTGCTGCCTGCGCTCAGCCCTCTCTCACCACCTCACTCAGCTCTGCTCAGTCTCCGCTCTGGGACACGAGAGGAAACTCGTTCCTCCCGCCAGTGGGGTGCGCACAACCCTGGAGACCCCCCCCCCGTCTCCCAGCCCTGCATCGCCCCACCATCCCCGGCCAGTGCTGGCTCGGCCACCGAAGGGACACACAAAGAGCCCGCCGCAGCAAAACCCACGCCAGCGGCACGCTGCGCCTAAATCTGCCACCTTGAATAGCCCAGCTGGCTAGCAGCAAACAAAAGCCCCCGTCTCTGAGCGACTGTGCCCCCAGCAGCTTTCAATGCACAGCGGCCCTTCTCGCCAGGCTGAATGAATTCCCCGATAACCCTTCCCCCTACCAAGCGGTTTCCCCCTTTCTCCTCATTTCTAATGGGGGCTGTTAAGTAGGCTTTAGTGAAAGGCTGGGGCTGACCCAGGCTCGCTGGCTCGTCCCCGCAGTTTCCCCAGCAACAGGAGGGGGAGGTGGCGCCCGCCCCGTGCGCCTTCATCCAAGGCCGACTTTCCTCCCACAACCACGAGCAACAAGTGAAGCAAAACTGCAGAGAGAGAGGGTACAAACAAGCAGCATGTCACAGGGTGGCGGCGCCAGGATGGCCCCAGGGAGCTGGGGGGCGAGGTGGCTGCCCGCCTCGCCTCCCACCCAGCGCAGCTCTCTGTATCCAACGCGCTCCTTGTGCAGGTATTATGCTCCCCTTGCTTTTCTTATTTCTAAGGAAACTTGAGAGGTGGAGAGCTGGGGCTGCAAAGCAATTGGTAGGGAGAAAACAACTTAGTAAAAGGTCCTGCCCGGAGCCCATCTGTCTGTGCTGTTCCTTTGTGATGGCCTTGCCTATCTCAGAAAGCGGACTGTAGGCGTTTTGACAAATGGACTGAAATGGCTGTTTCGTTTCAGCCTCTCCTCAGCGCTTCCTCCCTGCCCGCAAGTGCTACGAGTCCTTACGCCAGCTCTCGCCGCTGAGCCCCAGCGGATGGATACCCCTAGGTGAAAAAGGAAACAGATGGCCCAGTTTACCAGGGTCGTCCTTGGGTGGCTTTGTTCGAACTAGAAGTTGTCCTTGTTCCAGCACAAATCTGGGACACATCTCCACCTCTACTCCCACTGCGCCACTTATTGCTTTGCCCACACACACCACCCACCACGGCCCCTCACCGGGAGCCCTGCACAGTGGGAGGAGAAATACGAGAGGGAAAAGCCGAAGGGATGCAGAGCAGAGCTAAAAGGTGCAGACATACAAAAGGAGCAGAATGAGGAGAACTTAATATGCAAGGGAAGGGCAGTCGATAAAGCAAGGAAGCAAATGGCGAAAGATCACGGAGAAACTGGAGTCAAGCAGATACTTAGCAGAGAGTCTGTAGAGAAAAGACACAAAAATAATCAGGGTAAATGCCGTAGCTGAAAAGAAACGATGAAACACGAGTAAAGTAAGGGCAGGGGCAGTCAGGAATGTGGCAAGTGAGTAAACAGGGGAATATGGTAAATACTGGTAATTACATAAATAAGATCAATATTAGGTAAATATGGGGATAAATGTTGAATATGTTCCCTTGTTGGGGGCTGCCTCCATGGTCCTGCCTGCAGCTGAGGAGCCTGGGAGGCAGCAGCTGCAGAGGGAAGTATTTCTTCCTCAGCAGCAGAAAAATGTGCCAGGCCGTGCCATGGCCACAGGCTCCTGGCGTTGGACACTGCCCCACGGGGCAGCTGGAAAGCGCAGAAGAGGAAGCGTGGCCCTTGTAAATCAGATACTTTTCCAAGGAAGCTGCTGCCGAGATTTATTGGGAGAGCATGGCTCCGTAATGAATTCCTCCGTGCTCTCTCTGCTAGCAGTAAACTTTACCCTTTCTCTCCATCCTTCTTTTCTCTCTGTCAATTGGAGGGAGAAACAGCAGCAGCCGTTCTTGGAGATCAAAGTTTTAGCAGGCAACAAAGACCTCCAAGGAGGCTGTTGCCATGGCTACCTTAGTAACGGAGGTCTTTTAATCATGCCAATCTCCTTTGTTAGCAGCGTGTGGCTGTCGCTGGCAAATAAGGAGGAAAAGAGCGGTAAAAAAACCCTTGGCAACAAGTAGCACTTCTAAATGGCGTGAAATAAATAACAAGTAGCCCTGGTTAGGCTGAGCAGAAGCAGGATTGGACCGAGACCAAACAGGAGGCAGCGTGGAGGTTCAGGGCCTGGCTGCCGGGCCCAAGGAGGCCGTGTGGAGGGGTAGGGTGGGATGTACTGGTGTCCCTGCTGGCATCAAGGCCCTTGCTAGCTATTATAAGTGCAAAGCTCCCACGCCTACCACTGCCTTTGCCTGCCGGCACTACCCGCTGTTGGTCACAAAGGCGCAGCTCAAGGTCAGAGAGCCCACGGACACTGCCCAGGCTGAGTCCTGGCCCTCTAATCTCCGCCACAGGGCCAACAGCACCAACATCGCTGCCAACCGCTGCGACCAAGTACTGGCTCGGACGTTACTGGCAGCTTTTCAGTGAAACAGAGCGAAATCCTAAAACTCTCATCTTGTAAGGGAAAATGTTGCCAAGAACTTTTCTCTCTCTGAAACTATATCAACTTTTACAATACCACCTCTCCTGGCACACAAGGGACTCCAAACCTGGCTGTTTTTGTACCAGGTATTGAGTCATTTTGCTGAGTAAGAACTGTCTTATTAGCATGGAGCACCATTCACACACGTCCCAGGAGAGATTTATCCTCTCCGTAAGCCAATGCGTGTCTGCGTTAGTGCATTAGTTACTGTGAAATATGCTGTGTGTATATGTTTCTACTTTCATTCCTACTCATGGGTGCTAGACCTAATAAATTTCATGTTTATACCATATGACTACTGGCTGATAATATAAGCTACTGAAGAGCTCAGTTTAACAACACTAAGTGTTTGCTAACTTCAGAAATCAAGAAAAGTCTCAACTGCTAATTGTTGTCAATTTAAAATATAATGACAATAAAAGCCGAAGCTTCTAAAAGATTAATTAATAAAATAACATTCCACTAACGCATCATTCATGCGCTATTAGCTGCCAAATGGGATGGAGAACTAAGGAAGGCAATAGCTGTCTAGCGAAACACATGGCTCACTAACCCATCAGACCAACAACTGGGATTAGTGGATCGCTTTCCTGCCCCTTCCAGGAACTTGGCATGTTCTTGGGACAGAAGCAACCACGTCTCAAAGTTTGTCTAAGCTATGTAAAATTTTGCAACGCAAACATTCCCGAGCTGGCATAGACCTACACTGCCAGCCATTGCTGCATCTGTAGATGTGCCTGCTTGGGATGGGAGCGGTATAGCTGCTTTCACAAGACTCTGGATCTTACTAGCAAATTCTGACTCTCGGATGGGCTTACTGGGGTACATGCAGTGTCACGCAACTAAGCTAGACCATTTCCTGATGTGAGCTGCGTCACACAAAGCTAGATGGGGTATCTGTTGACACTGCCCTGTACTTCTGATTCAAGGGTTACTCCAGACACCCTGCACCCACTGCACAGGTACGCTCGCAGTTTCCTTAAGCAAAGGCTGCACCGAATGACTTTATTAAAGCCTGTGGACGTCCTCATAGGAAAAGCAGCGCGTAGGTTCTATGAATAACAACTTGATTACGAGCACTGTCTACGTGTTTAAAGAAGCAGGGTGCTCAGCTGCTAGCCACCAAAACAGAAATGTGAACTTCCTTAAATTTAGGAACTCAGCCTTTTTGTTTCAATCATACATTAATTCTAAAAAAATTACAATGCATAAAGTTGCAAATGGATCCAGTAGCCTAGCTGTAACGGCAGCAAAGGGCTCGAATATTCTAGTGAAACACGTGAGTGCAGAGAGCATCACTTGACTCCTGCTGTGCAAGTGGTAAGCTCTATATTAGCCCTGATGCAGCAGAAGCAGAGTTCATGCACTTTCTAACACGCTGAACCCTGTTCAGAGACTTTGAGCACCACTAAAACACAAATATTTAATAAAAGTGTAATAATACTTTTAAATTAGAATTCTTTCATTACTTTGCAGTAGGTTCACTTCCAGCCAATCTCTTTCTGAGGCACAGAGGTTACTACTACTCCTCTTCCTGCCCTTGCACTGATTCCCTTAAAGAGGGTTAGTGTAAGTCCCTGACTAAGCAATACCTACTGAATGGTCTTTTCAGCAAAGTACATAAGTACATGCTTAACATCAGGTATGCTTTTTAAATCCTATCAGCTTTGCTGAGCACAAACGGATGTAAATAAATGCTTAGATGGTTTTCAGAAATGGGCTTGAAACGAAGACAGCTCATGGGATTCTCTGATGCTACCTCGAGCTGTCCAGTCTCTCAGTGTGTCAACACAACACATGCAGACGACAAATCCCAACGTGCAATCCCATCGTGACCTAGGCAGACTTGCTGCTCAGACTGCACTGGAAAACCACAAATAGAGTCAGAAGCCCCTGTGATCGCTTCCCTAAGAAAACCAAGGAATATTACAATTTTCTCAGGTTTTAGATTTTTCGCAGCTTCTGACCAATTCTTAATGTTGCAGTTCACTGGGTAAAAGCAGAATCCTGCACTTTCAGCTAAGCAGATTTCTATTCGTTTAGTCACACCATCAGGTATCTACAATTTGCCTCTCTGATCGTCCAGGGTTTCCAAGTGAGATTAAGTTGCCCTGTCTAGTAGCATCTTCCTCTAACTTAAACACACCTTAAGTTTTAGTGTTAATGCAGAACCACCAGAAGGGACATTTTCCTTCTCCCTTTTCTGCACTGACTATTTTTTTCCATATTCTAATTTCCCCATTTTTTCCCATTCACAAGATGAAAGAAGTTAACAGTCTGCTCTATTCAAAATGTCAATTTATGTATTTAATCTATAAGCAATGTAAAATTTATTTGAAAAAACACTCGTCAGTAGGGAGCTAATGGCAATGTGCTGTAAGAACCACAGCATCTCTCATATATACCGTCCCTCCACTGATCCAGCTGCTCCAAAAGGGAATTCGGGTTCCACCCAAAGAGCAGCAAACAGCAAACAAAACCCTCTCACCATGCATCCCCTAGGACTGAGGACACTCTCAGATCCATATCAGTATTCACTGTCTTCCTGCAAGTCACTAATATCTAGCAGAGCAGTGGGATGGAATAAAAAGTATCCCAGAAGATGCCAGGATATTAAGAAATGGTACCTTTATCAACGGTACCTTTATCCTTCTCATCTAGCCAGCGCTGGAGGGAAAGGGAGGACAAAGAAGAAGAAATACGGACAAAGGTGGAAGGAGAAGAGTAAGGTGGGAAGAGGAAAAAGGCAGGAAGACGGGTAGGTAACCTAGAATTGCTCTGAAAACTGGAATGCCGCCTCAGTACACATTACCCAGGAGAAGAAACACACGCAAGCTGCGCCAAACAGCATGAGGCAGAACAAAGTATGCCCACAATAGGTATGCCTTCATGCTACTGCCAAACTTAGCAAAGAGCACTGCACAAACTGCAAGGCCAGACACACAGGCTGTAGTGAACAGGAAAGCAGACACAGCCCCAGTAATGCAGCCCGAGCTACACGTTTCCTCCTGACATAACCACAATGAACTGAGGCCAGGGGCATCGTCAAGCCAGCCTCGGAGGAGGGGATTTCTTCGGTTTTCCCCCACGTAGTCTCCTTTACACACTGAAGAACAGATTCTTCCTGTTACCATGGCACTGTATCACCACTGGTATCTGAGCACAGTTATAGACACAGATAGGAGACGATATCAAACCTAGTTACAAAGATGATAGGCTGTTGAATCTTGTCCTTTCTTCATCATGCAGCCACAGCCAGCTCCTCTGATGAGGCTACGTAACAGCTACTGCTGCCACGTGGCAGGGATAACCTCACCTGAACCATCACAGGTCTGGCTTGGGCCTACTACTGGTATATGATACACAGTCATACTGTGGATTTGGACAGGGGTATGGCACCGTTTTCTGCAGGGACCCATTCCCCAATTGTCCACCACCTGACTAGCATCTGAAGGACTGAGTAGAGGAAATAGCACTGTTGTAATCCCTCAAAGCCTTTCAGTCTGGTTTTACTTTGCGATGACTACTATAGCTCCAAAATTTAAGTGTCAGTTAAATTCTGATCTTAGTCATGAGATCAAGGACTCTTGACAGATATCTTCCACCATATGCCCGTACATATCATCTACACACTACAGACCCATCCTTTTTCTTATTTCCTTCACAGGATGTGTACAATCTGTACACCCAAGAACCATAAGCACACTGACCAGAAGAAGAATGTCAGGAGGTCTTAAGATAAGCTGGAAAAAAATCATTCTACCCTTCTGGGATACAGCTATTCAATGGTTGTATCATGATGTAAAACTGAGGCAGTCTAGCGGTATAGTTGGCTTAAGGCAACAAAATGGCCCTGAAAAGGCCTCGTTCTACTCAGCTTCTCTCTCCCAGTCGGGACGGTTGCTTTCTTGACCTGTCCAGTCAGCTGGATCGCAGAAGCCATTGCTGGAGGCTAACCTTGGGAATAGGAAATAAACTGATCCTGCTAACCACACTGCACAAGGGAGTTCAGTAGAAACACAGAGCCAGGCGTGCCAACTGAAGGGAAGACAGGTCCTTTTAGTGGCAGCACCAGCTTAGAACTGGTTAGGGTGACCAGGAAACCGTACCTCTAACTGTACAACTGCAATTAGCTAGACAGCCAGAAAAATCTCCCATATTGACACACTCAAGTTGTTAAATACAACACGTCTTGACATCCCAACAGATCAGAAAAGTAGGACCAAGGGAATGTTAAAAGACTACAAAAATATACAGTCTGATTATCTTTTAGGAGACTATTTTTAAAAGACTCAACCTCAAGTGTTCACTTTGCTGCAGATTTATTGTTTTATGCCTTTAAAGCAAGGGTTCTGACTTTCCACAGCCCTGAACTTTCTGTACTCATTTACATCTGTGTGAAGCGCCAGCAAGGTGGGTGCAAACATTACTATTCTGGTTTGGTAGTGTTTGCCACCCACTTCGCCTAGGTGTGAACGAGTGCACAAAGTGCAAGGCAATGGTGAAGGTACTGGGGGGGGGGGAACTGTTTTACATAGATCTGACACCCATAGTAAAGTAGTACACAGATATGCAGAGAGACAGAAGGAAAGATACAGCAGCTGCCTACCGAAGATGGGGCAATCTGCTAAGAGAGCTTACCAAGTACAAGCAGCTCCACTGACTCTTCATTCTTGCCCTCCACATCATCAGGTGTGATAATAAGGCAGTAATAGAGCCCACTGTCTCCCCACATCAGCTTCCCAATCTGAAGGTCTGCATCTGAAAGGTAAAAAAGAGAAGTTGAGGTTTCCCTCCAACACCACTCAGAGGAGTGAAGTGTTGAAAGCAGTGGGCCCAGCTCCGAATCCCAAATCCATTTTGTTTCCTTACTAAGGGGAGGGGTTGAACTTATTCAGAGTATCGTACTCTTTGAGAAAAAGCTGAACAAGCTGTGGCTGTAAGTGGGAAGACTGGTAATGCCACAGAGGAAGCTCATTCTGCAAGCACAGAGAGTAGGAAGGCTAACTAACGTCACCCTCTGCCCTCCCTGTTGCCTAAGGCCTGGGATCCTGACAAGCGCTTGTGCCCGGCAAGAAGGGCTCAGGCAGTACCTCCTCTGCAGCAGTTCAGCCATCTGCCAAAGTGGTTACACAGATTGAAGGGAAACACTCCCCTGACCCCACCGAGGGTGAATGCACGCTCTCCATACCAAGGGGCTCAGGACTCGCCTCCTCTTCTGGCTAGGTGGTCTCCTGAGCCAAGCAGAAGGCTGGTAAATTGGAGGGACACAGTTTCACACAGCCTTCCATGGCAAACATTTAATGACACTGCCACCCCCTCTCTCCACCCAACCTGACTTCACCCCTTTGAAACCTCTTCTTTTCACACTGCCTAAGGCTGTGTGGGTTTAAGGTTCATGATGAGATAAGCTAATAAGCCCAGAGTTGAGTGAGCATGAGATACAGGGTAATTTGGCATTTCAGAAGGGAGGAAACATCAGAGTAATTTTTAAGGCAGACAGACCTAGCCTGCAGAGGCTGAGTTGATAGCTTTCTTGCTGGCACCCCTATGTGAAGGAACATCTACATATACAGAGCAATACCCGGAAGGCAAAAATGAAAAGACTTGGAACTAGACCTTCCTCTTTGTCAATGGGAAAAAGACGACTCCTCTGCCAGGGTGAGAGACCTGCGTGGTGCAGTACGAATGGAAATATCAAGGGAAACGAACTTTGGGGGCGAGGGTTGGTTGTTTGAACCCGAAACGTCTGACACACAAGAGCTCACTTTCAGCAGCCCTTCCTAAGGCAAAGCGTTAACTGAACAACTACTGCTGGCCTCTAGTGCCCCAAACTGTCAAGGGTCAATTCCAACCTCCATGAGCATCACTGGGGCAGGAGAGTTACCGTGGACAATGCTGACATCTCTTTCCTTATAGAAGTCCCCTATTGTGATGGCAGATCCTTGTTTGGAAGCCACGACGCGGACTGTCCTCCTGCTGTCCACGCAGTCGAGGTAGGGATCCCAGTCCAGGTTCCTCTTGCTCATCGTTTGTAAGCCGGAAGTTGCCATACCCAAAGCTTCTCCCATCCGGTCCTGGCAGTAAGATTTAAACCTCCACTGCACCACAGCTGGTTGGGTGGAAGAAGTAGAGAAATGGCAGCGAAGCAGAGCAGGCTGAAACAACATAGCCACCTTCTTCTTCTCAGGCACAGTGACTTGCAACCCCTCCACCTCGGCTAAAAGACAGAAACATGAGCGTCACACGCCTTCTCAAGGCTTGAAGAGGAGGTTAAGTCATTTTATTATGGTGTCATTCTCTCCGTGTGCACAAAATTAAAATGACCATCAGTGTCACATGCTAGGGTCAATAGTCCTTAGTGTACATAAGCAGGGATGTTGCCGGCAAAAGTAAGTTTGCTTTTTTGATAGAATACAGCCACAATGAAGAAAAAAGCATCATGGGGCCAAAAGCTCCTATGTGGTAGTCTCCTATACTCTGCACAGACCCTAACACAGTGGCATGCTGCTTCATGGCTTCTATAGCACGTTCCTAGATAAGGAAGAGAGATTTTAGGGACAACTATACTCCACTTCTAGAGCAGGTCAGCCAAGGGGCTAAACCATGAGCTCGTACAGTCCCAATGCAGAACAAGTCATTCCTCTCCCAATGTCAGTGGTGTCACCCCTCCACTTTAAAGGTGGGACAGCTTGCAGACCCTGGCCCAGCATATTGCACACTGGTGCCCACTTAGTGCTACTGCTCTGCCAAACTCCAGAACACAAGAAGGGGTGGATCCAAACTGCCCAACTCCTGCCGTGACTGGCATGTAGCACTGAAAGAAACCGCTCCATGTAGGAGGTGTAGAGAAAAACAGCCCAAACGCTCAAGCTTTTTACATTCCCAGGGAAGAGATGGCTTTCAGCGCGTAATGTTCATCCGCCAGCTGACAGGAGAGCTGCAGCCCAGGCTGACGTATGAGGGCCTCAGAGAAGACACATGGCAATGAATTGCATATGGGACTGTTATCACATCCTTGTGTAGTTTAGGGCAAAGCCGAGAGCTGGTGAGTGTGCCAGCAGAGAGCCCTCCGGAGAGCGAGGTGCTCCATCTATCCGCAGGGGAAAGGGGAAAGGTAAAAGCCTCCCACGTATGCCCCACATTGCCTCCTTCCCGCACCGCAGGCAGCAATGACTTATAAAGCACTTACATGGTGCCGGAAACATATGCTGACACTTCAGAAAGTGGCAACATGCCTGCCTGTGGAGGCACAAGAAGTGCCCACGAGCAACAGGGTGCATCTAAGGTGGCACGAGTTTGTAACCAGGGGTGCGCTCTGCTGCTGAGGAGCACCAGGATCTGTCTGTAGGGCTCACACAGGAGAGGGCAAATCAGTTTGGAAAGTGCTGACGCTGGCAGTTCCCTATACGCAGCTAAAATACATCCTTAGACCCAGAGCAATGCACAGTGAAAAGAGACAAGGAGACACCAGGAAATACTCAGGAGAAGAAGGTGGAGGGGGTTATTCACACCACACAGGGAGAGGGACTGCTACACTAGCAGGGTTAGGAGAGGTACAGGGAAGAATGAAAGACTGCGGAAGAAGAGTCTTCCTGGCGCAGGGAAGCAGTCTGAGAGAAGGACAACTGCCAAGAATGAGAAAAACAGGCAGAGGAAGAAGAAAATACCAGGGTAAGTATAGGAAGCACAAGGGTAAATAGAAGGATGACAATCAGGAAACTAGAAGGGTTATATTTAGCTGAAAGAAGCTAAAGAAGGTGTCTCAACCTAGATCAAAATAATTTCAGAGGGCTGGAACCAGGTTGCAGGAGACTAAGAAAAGATGCAGTGAAGAGAAGAAATGAAGTCAGCAAAAATAAACCACCCACTCCAAAACCTAGGGATGAAAAGTAGATGGGAGCCAGCAAAAGAAACTAAAATGATGGCAGATACCTTGAAGACTGGGAAAAAATGGCACAGAGATTAAAGCAGACAGAGAGCAAACAGTGAATGCATCAACAGAAGGAAAACAGCAGGCAGGGAGGCACAGGGTCAAATTCGAGTCAGCAGAAGAGCTGGAAAGCGAAAGCAAGCAAATATCTCATGAACAAGAGTCAGGACCAAAGGAGAGTGCGGGGCTCGGACCAACACCGAATATGCATTTCGACGTTATCAATGTCCACACTATCGACCACAACAAAGCCTCTAAAAACTAGCTAGGGGATAAAAAAAACATACCACAGACGGAACGTTATTTCAAATGACAGGCAAGCTAGTCACTGATACTAGCAAAGAGTTACTGGTCTGGGCAGGATTTGAGTTGGAGGCCTACTAAGTGAAAGCCTGGCATGCACAAGGGTGCAGAAATGCTGTAATATGCATCTAATGAAGGCATGTTATTACGCATATAGTACTTGTGCTGGATAGAAGTTGCACAGGAGATGTCACTAGTTTTGCCAGAACTGTCTGGACCCAAATCCAGGTGCTGAAGCGTGCGCATTCTCCAGAATACCATGAAGCGCAGCTGAGGTCCCAACAACATGCTCCCACACGAGGAGCCAGGGCACCAGACACCCCACCACCTTGCTGACGCTCAGGCAGTGATAACTCGAGCAGTGGCAGTTGGCAGGTTTCTGCCGGGCCTGAGAAGAGGGACAGAACCTTGGGAACCCTGGGGTGACATTTTCTTATTCTCCCCTCTGCAGAGACACAGGCTTCCTGGGTTGCATTTCAATTCGAAAGACAAGACAAACACCTTGAAAAATGAATAGGCCCAGGTCGGACCTGTTCCTGGTAGCTCTGTGCCTGCCCCCACGCTGCCCATGGCCAAAGTCAGCATGTGACGTGAGCTGATCAAGTGACCCATCACATTACTTTAGCTTCAGGGAAAAAATAGTGACACAGTGAATATTTAAATCTCTCCCTTGTGAACGAAGTACTGCTGCTTAGTAAACACAGTGCTTTCAGCTAACCATGCACTGCAGCCCTCCTTCCCTGCTAATGAGATTAATGAGTTTGGCAAGCCAGGGACTCCTTTAATAAATGATTAGCCAAGCTTTAGCAAATTCTCATCTGACTAACTTTCCCTATCCCACCCCCATGTGAATGCCTATATTGAGAAAAAGAAACTTGTAAACAGCTTTTGGGAAAACACAAGAATTTTTTTTTTTCGCCTATGAAAAAGTGTTTGGAAGATGTGTAGTAAATTATCTGGCATCTTATGTATACTATCCTGAGCTCTCTATTACCTTTTTAAACATTCTTTTCAGAACTTTTCCAGGAATAGCGTTCAAGAGCAACAAGGCATCTCAGACTGAGATTGGAGCAGTGGAAGCTCTAGATCTATTTTAAGTCAAATTACATATATGTATAATTATACAGGGCTGAACTGGGAAATCATACACCTGTTATTTCCTCTGCCAAAACAAATAAACAAAAAAGCCAGAATCTGTATCACTGCACCAACAGCATCCTTCAAAAAGGCTAAAAGGGTACTAGACTGTCTATAGACAAGATGGTGGCTTTATAGCTCTCAGTTGTGTCTGTGCACGCAAATTACAGAGGTCTGCTTAGGCCTTCCTCAAGTCTAAGAGGAAAGTGCTGAACTCAAATATATTAAAAAGAGATTAGCCAAGAAAGGAAAGGCCTCACATGTATCAGAGGACAAAAATGTGGGCTGTTTACATAGCAGAGCAAAAAGATACCAAAGGCGGAAAGATTCCAAACATGGAGGGATACCAAAGACGATGACAAGCTTAGCGACAGCAGACTGTGGTAGCTCTTGCTCGGTCTAGTTTAATCTAGCTAGGACTAAAATGGAACTGAATTGTGCTCTGCTAGGTTTCGACTAACTTAGACAGAATAAGATTGGCCCTTATTTCAAAATAATCACAGAACCCTAGCTCCCGCACTCCAGAGAAGTAACCTGTTTGTTATGAATTTCACAATGTTTGAACTTTCATGTGAAAAATCTCGCTCTCGGAGTCATATGATTACGTGAGAATTTTACTCTCCTCCTTTTCTCGTTCTCCTAAAGCCCCCAGAGAAAAGTCTGCAAACATTAATCAGGTACCCCGTAAAACACGGTATCTTTACCCTCAGAAAGCAAAAAGAATCCATGTTTGTGTTTGCATGTGTGTCTGTGCATGTGCATCTGTGTACACACTTATGAAGAAAGAGCTTTAAAAAAGATCGCATTTCAGAAATACAGTGGTATGGTTTTTGCCCGTTTCTTATTGGCAATGTGTATTTGTCTCCCTTCTCTCTGATTCTTTCCCT